ACACACACACACACACACACACACACACACACACACAGGTGAACTTACAAAAGCATCCCATCAAGGTTTGGAGAACCTTCTAGATCCAACCATAGCTGTGGATAGCAATGCATGGGGCACATTTTGCTCATTTCCACCCCGCTGTTTCTTATTGGCCTTCTCCTGTCTCAGCCCTTAGGCTTTAGGGTTGGAGGGGCAGTGCAAACCCGTAAAGGTTCTGTGACAGCTTCTGCTGGAGTGGGGTCAGCCCTAAAAGCTGTCTGGGGGGGGGCAGGAGGTGAGGAGGTGATGTGGGCCAGGTGACCCAGGTCCCAGGCTCCACCTCCAAGCAGGTCCCTTTATCCCATCAGATTTAATTTCTAGGTAAAATTGCTGCGAGTTCAAAGGTGGCAGAGTGGGAACTTGAAAGAACACCATGGGGCACTCAACAGGCCCTATGCAGTCGCCCTGCTGCTTGCTGGAAGCTGGGAGCTAGGTGTTTAAGAGACCCCCAAAGAGGCAGGAGAACCAGTGCCCCTGGAGAGTCCAAGAGGGACAGCCCAAGGTCTGCCGTGAGAGAGGACGAGTTCGCTGAGTGCATCTGTCAAGGGCATTTTCTGATCTTAAGCTTCAGGCCCCACAGGGCGCGGGTGTTTACCTGGGCCATGAATGAGCCGGTGAGAGCATGAATGACTGAGTGACAGGCTCCCCAGCACCTCACTGCCTCTGCTCGCTGCTCCCCTGGCAGCCCCTCTCCAGGACACCGTGCCCGGGGGCTGGGCCAGGAGGGCTCTTCTGGGTGGCCTCGTCCCTCCTGGGGCCTGGGCTCTAGGGCCACTACCTGGAAAGGAGATAGCAGAAAAGGATCTCTGATAAGTGCCACAAGTGCTTTTCCTGGGGCTCCTCCCTGCAGCTGTCAGCACCACGCTCCCAGGCCTCCTGTCCTGGCGTCCTTGGCAGGAGGACAGAAGCAAGGCCAGAGCGTCCGGGCCCGGCCTCCCCTCCCAGCCTAGATGCTGCTGCCGGCGCTGCTGGTGCCCCTGCTCTGGGCTGGTGAGTGCGGGGAGCTCTGGGGCTGCCAGCTGGGAACCGGGCTGCAGCTGAACCTCTGTGTCCCCCCAGGGTCTCTGCAGGAGGAACCCAGTTACTGGCTGCAGGCACAGAGGTTGGTGACAGTGCAGGAGAACCTGTGTGTCCTGGTGTCCTGTTCCTTCTCCTACCCGCGGGGCAGATGGCAAAACTCTACCCCCACTTACGGCTGCTGGTACCGGCAGAACAGGAATCTGTTTGACTACACGCCAGATGAACTTGTGGCCACCAACGACCCAGGCAGGAAGGCCAAAATGAGAAGTCAACCTCGCTTCCAGCTCCTTGGGGACCCCATGGCCTACAACTGCTCCCTGCAAATCTCAGGTGCCCAGCAGGAGGACAGCGGAAGTTACTATTTTCGGGTGGAGAGAGGAGAAATCAAATACAATTACCGGAAATGGATGGTCACTGTGATTGTCACAGGTAAGGCACAGTGCTCTGGAAAGGGGAAGAGGGATGAGGACCCTTAGGGACAAGTAGGGTCACCTGTCCTAGTGTGGAAAGGTCACCAGAGTTAGGAGGACCCAAGACTGAGGTGTCGGTCTCGAGACCCACAGGGGCCTCTCTGGGGCCTGCCCTGTCTTCTCTCCTCCCCAGAGCTGACACAGACTCCAGACATCCGCATCCTGGAGCCGCTGGTGTCCGGTCACCTCAGCCACCTGCTGTGCTCCATGCCCGGGGTCTGCAGTGGGGGCATGAACCTCACATTCTTCTGGAACGGAGCTGCCCTGAGGCCCCCAGGGTCAGGCTCGGGGGCTCACAACTCCTCTGAGATCATGCTGACACCCCGCCCTCAGGACCATGGCAGTCTCCTCACTTGTAGGGTGACCCTCCCTGAGGCTGGGGTGACCAAGGAGAGGACTGTCCAGCTCAGCGTGTTCTGTGAGTGCTGGCCCAGAATGCTGGGCTTCTCTGCGGCAGACCGGGTGGGGGTGTCTTGGTCAGAGTGTCTGTGTCCCCCACATTCACAGGTTGACTCCTGACTCCCAGGTGATGGTGATGGAGGTGGCATGGTAGGCAGGAGGGGCACAAATGGGGGGCCTCATGCACAGGACGAGTGTACCCGTACCAGGGCCCCGAGAGTCCCTGTCCCTTCCACAGCATGAGGGCACAGCAAGAAGGTGCCATCCATGAGGCGGGACACAAGCCTCCCCTGTCACCACATCTGCCTGTGCCTGAGCCTGGGACCGGCAGCCTCCTGAACTTGAGAGATCAGTTTCTGTCTTTGATCATCCACCAGCCTGTGGGGTCTGTCACAGCAGCAGGGGAGACTGAGGCAGAGCAGCTGATCGGCCTTGTGGAAGCCACAGAGCCTCCCACAGGCCCCAGGGAGGACATCGGCCTCCTCTGCTCTTCTTCCTGTTGCTGCTGGCGGCTCTCGGGGTTGCGGTGAGGATGGGCCTGCTGCACCCCCAGCCCTCGCTGTGCCTTTCTTTCCAGATCCTCCTCAGAACCTGACCATCAGTGTCACCAGCACCCATGGCGCAGGTGGGTGTGACTTCCCTCCTGGGTGGGCAGTAGCAGCTCTCTGGCAGAATGGAGGAAAGTCACCTGAATGGGGAGCCCATGAGGGCCGTGGGGACACTGCCTCTCTCCTCTTTGAGGGTGACAGGGCTGCTCTGGTCAGCACATGAGGTTAGAATCCTGGCATCATCGCAGTGGCCTGGCAGCAACCAGCAGGGCGAGACAAAACGATGCCGCCCAGCCTCTGGCACCCGCTCATCCCCTCCCTCACCAGACAGTGCCAGGTCCCTAACAGTCTCTTCTCCCTCCTTCACTTCCTATGCTTCTACCGAATATGTCTGACTGTTTTAAGACATTCCTTTTACCCTTCAGCCCACACAGCTTTATGTAACCACAGAAACATGTATTCACGCCTGACACTTCATGGATTAATTCGGGATGAGGTGATATTCATAAAACACAGGAAAAAACCCGGTTCGCTTATGGCTGCGATGGAGACAGAACGCAGAGCCTCAGGCAAAGGAGGGAAGAGCTCAGCACAGGATCAACCCTTTTTTTTTTTTTTTTTTTTTTCGGAACGGGGGATTGAACTCAGGCCCTTGCGCTTGCCAGGGAAGCACTTATTCCACCGAGCCACCTCCCAGACCCCAGATCAACCCTTTTAAAGGGAACCTGGTGGTGGCGCCTTTCTCCTCATGACACAGTGCCACCACCACCCCTCTGAACCTCAGAGTGATCCCTGCCCTCCCTTCCTCCCTCCCATAGGCCCATAGACCCCGGGGGCCAGGCACACTGAGACACAGGCCAGGAGGCAGGGTCAGGTCCAAAAAGGCTTTGAACACTTGATGCTTGGATTTTGGATACTTGAGCAAAAGTGGGCGGATCTGAAGGAAGGAAATGTGGAGGGCAAATGGCTCAAAGGCATCAAGGGACAGCGCAGGGACCTGTGCTCTCCCAGGGTGCAGAGAAGGCGGTGGACGGTTAGATGCAACAGTACTCAGGGAGGCCCCTGCCTCTATTAAAGAGAGACATAAATGGAAGTGTTAGAGCCTCAGGAATGCGCTTAGCTCTGGGTCTCCCTGAAGTCTCTCTGCCCACCTCCTGCATCTGCCTCTGTCTCTGCTTCTCTCTTCAGCCCTAGACACTCAGGGCAACGGCTCCTACCT